GTTTCAGACTTAATAAGTGAGCATCTAATTGCAACTGGCATGAATCGAGATTAATCAAAAGGTTGGAAATACTCTCTAAACATACATTAAGGCATTGAATTTTGATTTATAAACCACTATTATTATTAGAGACCCGCCAAACATTTGCGGTCAAATTAGCATATCTATTGTAAAAGTACTTCTTTCAATACAGGGCTTCTTGAATAATACAAAATAATTCATTCTTATCACAGACACTAAAATCTTTAAGTTTACTTGTCTTAGGCCTAAAATTAGTCAAGTATTTATTAAGCACAGCCTATATTCAATAAGAGATAAGGCCAATTGTTTTCTCTTGAAAAAAGAAGAGTTATGGGGGATCTGATTGAGGTGTTTAAGATTGTAAAAGGAATTGACAGTATTGATGCATCATCTTTTTTATATTTAACAATAAGAATAGTATAATTAGGGGACACAAATATAAATTTTGTCAAAGTAGGAGTCATCTTCAGCAAAGACAGTTTTATTTTTCTAACAGGGTGGTTAGGCTTTGGAATGGGTTGCCTACTGATGTTGTAGAGGCAGTAAATTTAAGTGAGTTTAAGAAAAGTTTGATAAATATATGAATGATAAAGGCTGGCTTTAAAAAGTTTATATATTTTTTAATCATTTTCATTTAGTTTAGAGGATGGAACAACCGAGATGGACCAATAGGTCCCATGTTGTCTCAAAATGCTATGTTACGTTAAGTAAAAGAAAAGGAAAAAAAAACATGTCCAGAGTTTTTAAAATAGAAAGGAAGGAGGAAGTCCTTTTTTAAAAGTGACCTCTTTTAAAGAACGTTTGCGCCATTTTTTCATGATTGTTTCTTGTTTTCAAATGGTCCATGTGAAACAAACGTCTTCTTTGTTTCATTTTTTCATCAAAACCATACAAAATGTATAACTAATAAAGAAAAAGAGCAAAACGAATCAACTGTGTCTATCTCATTATTTTATTCAGATCCGCAGCAAAAGCTAAAAAACGGATAATTAAATCTGGGTCCCTATAGTTTTTTTGACAAGAATTCCTGTCTTTTCCATGAATATTCCATGGCCAGATTATCAAAATTCTTCACCCTTTTTAAAACTGTGTTCAAAATACATTGTTCTCTTATGATCTGTTTAAAAGCTACCTTCACTCAAAATTGAATGACGTTGGGCATGGCACAGCAAATTCTTGACATAGCCTTGCCTATACCCATCATCATGTAGCGTACAATGAGGTTGGTCATGTCACCTCAGCCTGTGCCTTCACTTGGGAATATTAACAAAGAATGAAATGGCACAACACATTCTAGGCCTAGCCTTATCTATAGTAACCTATAGGCGTACATTTCACCATGTAGCCTACAATGTGATGGGTCAGGTATCCGTCATCTCTGTCCAAGAGTGTCTTCACTCCATTGAAAAAAAGACTTAGGTCATGTACCCTGCATATGATGTATACATCAGCTATTCTAGTATGTACTAGTACTTGTCTAATGTTAGTACTAACAGTTAGGCATAACGTAGTTGCCTACTGTGTGAACTCATCTGTGCTGATTGCAGGATGGTTACTGGCAATCGACTCACGCCTCCTCCATCAAGTTCCCCAAGCAGAATCAGAAGACAGCGACTTTCTGTTAGAAGATAAGAACCTACTACTTAAGGGCACTGTGTAGAGATGAGATGTACAAGAACGTGAACATGAGTGTTAAACTGACTGATAGGAAGAGGAACAAAATCTACCGTGTCAGCATACAAATAGATTGGGAAATACAGACCTCAGACAACACAAGGTTAAGATGAAGATGAGGGATCCTGTTAAAGAGAATCTCTACTGGAGACCCTATGTTCGGAGAGACAGATAAAGGAACTGCAAATGTTGGAGCAGACTTTGTATATGAACTAAGAACAGTCTTTGTATATAGTAAAAAAAAAAGATTGTATATATTTTATCTTGAAGAGAGGTTTATGTCATGATATGAAAGACTGTTTGGTTTAAATATTAGTGATTAATTTATATTTCTGAGTGAATACTTTATTATTTTTAAGTTTTGTTATAATGAGTGTTAAAAGCAGACGACTACAGAAGGTTTTGTTAATAACTAATTGGTGTCGAGAATATAGAAAGTGGCCAGACGACTATGTAATAAAGATAAAAATAGCGTGAGACGAGCGGGAAGCAGCAGACATGCATCAATAGACAGATAATAGCAAAATAGAATATAGTTGTGTGAAGTTTACCGCAAAGGTGATAGGCCTAACGTTAGAGTGAAACTAACAGTATAAAAAAAAGATAAGAAGGATAATTTTATTCCGTGAAAGCGTGGTTCTAAAGTAATTGAATCAGCCTGGGTACACTTTGACAAAAGGAACAGAGGATCTTCAGAAGAAAGAAGACCAAACGAATTACGGTAACCTGCGCCACAACTGTAAGAGAATCCCACACAGAATACTAGTACGATAGTAATATAGAGAAGATAGTTCGACTTGTCAACTGAAATTCTAAAGTAATTGAATAGGCCTAAGTGGACTTTTAACAATAAGAAGATAAATATATATAAATAGTGTTTATGATATGCCTGTAATATCTATAGTGTGAAGACCTTGTTGTACATATGTTTAACTTGAAAACAAGTAAAGTGTGTGCTGTTTATTTATCGTTGAATTTATCGCTAACGAGTCACAGCCACCTGCAAGAAGAATCCTAAGTCCAACAACAACGTAGTAAAAGCCATTTATTTTGACAATTGGCAAAAAGAAGAACTTATATATACATATTTTAAAATCTGACACACACATATATATAATATTTTTTTAAGTCTGACAAACTGTCTGATTTTAAACCATTGTAATGACCACGACTTAGACAAAAAGTTTAATATTTTCGAAGTATTTTTAGTGAAAACTGTAAAATATCTTAATCTTGATTGACTTTTGAACATGTAGAAGCTATTGTTTTTAAAAACAGAAATAATTTAAATGTTTTACGTTCGCATCATGTATAATATTAACTCAAGTTTACAGTAATGTAAAGAGTTTATAAGTAATCTATGTACCTTAAAGTGAGAAATAATACCAGTTTAACTAACGATTTATCTTGAAAGCTTAATAAATATAAAATTATATACTCATATTATATTTAATTGAATACTTTTTATTGTAATATATGTCCAAACTTCAGCTTTAAATTTAAAACACTCCTCGAACATCTTGAATTACAGGTGTAATCGTAATAGTTGTACTTGATAAAACGTTTCTTGCAACTGCTGTTGTCTCTCTTCTTGTTTCTTTTCTTGTTCTTGTATTGCTGCCATCAAATCTTCTAAGCTGTAGTTTGATTTGCTGCCTCTCGTTTCCATCTTCTTTTTTTTTTTCTGTCCCACTCTCTGGTCGTTAGTTAATTTTCCGTAAAAATTCTTTCCGAAGAAACTTTACCGATACAAGTCCTTTCTTAAATAAAACTGGTTTATTCTTTCTGAATACAACTTTGCAATACACTTAATTTGCACAGTCACGCTATAACAAACGCTTTAATTCACAACGAACGACTCACGTTCTCGACTCAACAGTACGTCTCTATCTCTGTCTGCAGTTCAATTACATTGAATTGTTACCGGTCTTATATATACAAGAATACCGCATATCCAGTAACCTCTCGAAACTTCAGGAAGGGACGTGAACGTTCGAGAATATGACGTGTTAGTAGAGTCACGTGACCCCCGCTGTCGTAACAATATCTTACAATAAAATGCTTATCAACGCTGATTTCATGTTAAAGAAAAACTGATTCTAAAATAATGATTTTATCATAGTAAAAACTAATTTTCGTAATTGTTATGTAAGCAATTCCTGTATGTAAGTTACTGTTAATTAAAAGAAGTTAATTATTCAGTCCAAATTGTGTTTTTTACCGGGTTTCGATACCCGTGGTGGGTAGAGCACATAGCTTTGTTCTTAACTACAAACAAACAAACCATGGGATGAAACCGAATTGATTATAATTATTGAATAATTATACTGAACTGGGTGTAAAAGAGTCGATGGAACTAATTCAACACAGAGGTTTTCAGTTCTCCAGTTGAACTTTAATTAACATTTGATAGACATTTACAGTGCTGACGAGAGGGGATGGGAAGGGGCAGCTGCCCCGGAGTCTGTTGAGGGGCGTGCAGTGGGATATTCTAAAGCTCACTAGAAAAAGCACACTACTTAATGAGCTAAAATGGCTACTGCTTTTTCACGGATTCATGAAGAAATTTGTCAACTAAATTTATTTTATGAACAATCAGCAAAAGTTAATAAATAGAATGAATGGGAAGCCCGATGATATTACTGACCCCCGGGCCTGGGCTGGCTATCGACGCTCCTGGACATGTATATATTTATCAGCAATATATTTTCCATATTGTTTTATGATTATGTTGAACCCTTACCTTATGTATAGTGTGTATATGTATATACATGTGTTGATTGGTATTGTTTCATTTGCGTAGAATGCTTTGATATATAAATACCGTTGTCTCGTCTACTTTCATTCTGCCCGATGATACCCAAAAAATATGGTCGAAACATCTGGCAAAACATAATTGTTTTACAATAATACACTAATAATTTTACAATTCATCGAAATGACGCACGTGGTACGTCGAAACTATTCGGGGTAATCATTTTCATATTTTTGTAAATTTGTGTTTGTTCTTTGTTACTGAAATATGTACTCAAATACTTGTTAATCTTTACAACATTTGTAGATAGCACAAAGTACATTAATTGATTAATGTTACAGTCGGTGCACACCAACTGTACACATAAACGTGGTAGTACTAGTATTACTAATAGCACTTAGTAATACTAATTAATTGTAGCAACCCTTGTAATACCGGTAGTACTGTGCCAACAAGTCCAGAAGGGCTGATCACGCATTTCACAGGCAGTGAGTGACAAGTTCTATAGATGCGGTGATATCTACCTTTCACTCACCGACGGACTTCTCTTTCATATAAATTAACTTAAAAGAAACTAGCTTTAGCCAAACTAATAAGCCTGTTTGTTGCATCACCAAAATTATGGTAAAACAAATAAGAGCAGCGGCACAGAATACAAATGTGTTGAACAAATTGTCTTTATTTTCCATATAGGCACCACTCGTCTGCTCACCATACCATATCGAATAATAATTAAGATTTAGTTGCTAAGATACGCAATGTTTACACTTACCACTGTTGCAGACGAACTTTGTATCATAACACAAGCCTAGACTTACCAATGTGATTTATAAGCAATTAGGAACAGGTTAGTCTGAAAAAAAAAATAGTTTGAAGGTACAAAATCGAAATGGATTTTGGGTTAGAAGACTATATAAAGGCAAAGTTTGAGAAAAAGTTAAATGTGTAAGCGAACGTTTTGTTAACCGTATAGAAATTATAACTTAACTCTTAGTCTTAGACCGAGTGTCACTATGTATTACTGTTATTGTTAGTTAAGCTTAAGTCAAGGTAATCTAAATTTGTTAGTGTTTTTTAAAAACGTTAAAAATAAAAGCACTGAACGAAAACCTAGTATGACTATAACTTATAAGCTTGACATGTCACTTTGCTGTAATAAGGCTAAAAGTTATTAATTATATGACAATGACATGAATTTTATTTATGTATGGCGTTCAACCTTTTTTAAATACTGTTTTGTTTTAAAGACATAGCCCAGATTTGCATTAATTACAAAATTTCATTTAAATGTGATAAAAAAGATAATAATTTTTTATAAATGAGAAAGTTCCTTGATATAATGTTTGATTTTAAAATAACTGATCAGATTTTCCTTTTGAAAGAAATAAAGAAAAGGTTGAACATTGAGTCTTTATTAACAATGTTTCTAGATGAATATAAGTAGTGAAAAATAAGATAATAACATTAAAAAAGAGTCATTGGATAGCATGTTAAAACCGTTTATAAGTTTGATGTAATACATATACACTGCTTATAAAACAAGAACTTCAGCAACACAGTTGGAGTTGCAGAATTTGCCAAGACCTAATAAAGTTAGTGTGATTTTGTTCTGTAGCAAAGTGTATTTTTAAACACGTACTGAAAAAGAATGACTTCATTATAATCTTTATTTATAATTCTTGTTTGGTAAGATTTCTTTGATATTAGCCTATTATGATGATTTAAGATGTTTATCACTAAAATAAAGTAACTGTTAAGTATATGAGTGGTATTAGTCATTTGTTAAAAAGCTAATATCAATAAGCATTTAAGCATGGTACACAGTTTTCAGTATATTATTGTTATGCTATCCAAATGTGTTGAAATTTGTATATCACAATCATAATTTTGTCATACGTAACTCATTTCGATGTTAGCAACACAGAAAACAGATTATTACAAATACAGTGAATTTTACTAACTGTTTTACTTTTCATTTTCACACATACAAAGTTTTAAAAGAGATTGCAGTGAAGAAATGTTAATTTAAATTTAAGGATAAAAATTTGAGTTGAAAATTTAGTCAGTTAAGCATTTAACAATTTAAATTAAATGTTTCCATTCTTAATATATTTTAAAGCTAAGTATTATCTAAGCTTCAAAAATAATTTATGATTAGCAAAATTGCAAGAAATAAAACTTGTATTAGTAAAACTGATACATATCAAACCGAAGAAATGGCTCAAGTACTGACTTGTATAGGGCACCAAATATTAAATTGGTGAGCAACTTTCACCAGTGATACAGATTTTTATCAGTAGCATCTAGCAAATTTAATTAAATCAATTCAAAACTATATATATGTATATATTAGAGACGGCTGATCTGGGTTTAATAACTTTTGTTTAAAACACAAAACAAGTAACAATGTTTCAACCTCTTTAGGATATTTAATTCAGTTAGTAAGTAATTGCATAAAGGTTGTTGTTTTGAATACATACTAAATGCAGTGTTTTGTTATAAATGAGAAATATTTACAGTTGCTTTTATAAATTACATAGATTGTAGTTTTGTAGTAAAATGTTCTCATGAAATTTGTGATTAAAATTAACTTTGATATTTGTAATTAAAGTTTATACAAGCAATTTCTTCCAACTGGATATTAAATGATATGCTGTTTAAAAGTATAAGCATTTGAATCATACCTTGAAATATGAAGGGTATTAATTGGGCCATTCATCTAACTTAAGATTTAAATGTTGCATTTCATTTTTTATTTTCATAATCAAAAAATGAAGAAACTGTATACAACGAGCAATGTTGGTAGTAACTGGTATTAAAGTAGCCAACGAAATTTTTTGAAGTTTTCACGGTATTAGACTTAATTTTCCAACTGTATAACTCAGATGCAGCATTTGTAATTTAAACTTTGGAATATTTTCCTATTCTCCACTTACAGAAAAAAAAATGCACATTTTCAATTGACATTTATTATAATGTAAACTCATGAAATAATTCAAGAGTTTGTGCTAATTCAAGAATATACTTAGTAGTCAGTTACATGTTTTCCACAACAAGTCAACAACAATACATTTGAAGACTGAATATGCAAAAGGACAGGTGTAATGATTTGTTGAAGCTAAAATAAAAATAAAACACTTTATTTCCGATAAAGCAAAAAGGAAAATTGTTGATCATACTAGTGGAAGGACGATTGCAGAATACTAAAATTATAAAGTAAATTTTATTTAAATAAAAATTAAAAGAAAAAACAAAACACATAATCAGCAGGCTGAAGAATGTAGCAAACAAAGATGCAACTTTCACAGAATGCCTATCAATTCTTTCGAGATTAATCAGTCTGAAAATGACAAAACTTCAATCATAATTGAACTCTGTAGCTAACAAGTTAGGAATATTTGATCATCTAAAAAATTAATAAGAATCTTTGTAATGATATCAATAATGCAGTAGCTAATGATCTTTTAATAATGGGGGAATTTTAATTTTTGATGTATGTTGATTGGAAAGCTTTGATACATAATGATGAATAAGTTAGGTTCTTTTTCATCATATGGTTATGGAACCTATGTGGGAGGATGCTATTTTAGATTTAGTATTGACCCCAATGTAGATATGATCGAGGGGGTGCAAGTAGGGAGCATCTAGGTACAAGTGATTATTGTACAATTATGTTTGAGGTGGTATAACATATAGATATCAAGAACAGTTAGTAATATTTTGACCCCAGTTAAGTTGTGGGAAGACTAATGTTGAGAGAACAAGACATGAATTGATTCTGGTCCATTGGGATACTGAGTTAAATGGATATGCTTAAGTTGTTAAATATTCAAGATAAGCATGTTCCATAGAGGGAAAAAAATGGTGACAGCAAGAAACATTAATTGACCAAGATGTCTAAGTGAAAGTATTAGGAAGAAAATTAAAGATAGGCATCACAAATTTAACAGGTTTAAGTTAACTACTAAGATGGAAAACTTGGAGGATTAGAGAAAATCCAGAGTTGGTTAAAAAAAGGATATTACAAAATTAAAAAAATACGTATGAAAACGATTAGCTGAAAATTTTAAACCTAACAGTAAAAATTTTTTTAAATGCATTAAAGGTAAGCATAAGGTTAAAATGAGAATGGGCTATTGAGGAATGCTGAAGGAAGAGTTGGTTATGTGATGGTTGAGCTGCTAAACTTTTTTTTTTCTTCAGTCTCTGCTAGAGAAGATGTGAACAGTACCAATCCAGATCCTGAGACATTACTTGCGGTAAATATGATAGATGTACATCAGTAGCATAAGTATGCTCCCACAGACCCCACAATTGCAGAGGGACCCAAGGCAAAAGGGGACCCAAAGGCCCTGACAAACTTAAGAACTGTCAACAAGAGGTATGAATGTATAGAGCCCCATTGCTTTTTATGTGTGTGTGTGTGGGGGGGGGGTATCTTTTGTAATTATGCAACTGATCTACATAAATTTACTATTAGCCATAAAACTGTTAAAGAAAAATTTGGAAATTTAAAACTGGTAAAGCTCCTCGGGCCAAGTAATATTTTTCTAGTGATATTAAAAGAGTTAAGGATTACATGAGCAAGCCCTTTCTAAATTTTTTGCAAGTCTATGAGTAGTTGGCAGGTGCTAGAAGACTGGAAGCTTGCTAATGTTACACATATTTTTAAGGAAGATGATAACCATTATCCAGGAAATTATAGCCCAGTTAGACTTACTTCTATAGTGGTAAAAAGTTTGTAATTTGGAGGGATTGATTTTTTAAAAAAAAAGCAAAACCATCTATCAAAGTTTATATTTTTTTTCGACATCCGGCATGATTTCACACATCGAAAATTGTGCTTCATTAATCTTTTGATGTTATTCAAAGATCTCACTGCTTATGTTGGTGCAGGTTTGGTATATGCTGGATTTTCAAAATGCTTTCAACAAATTGTTACACAAAAGACTAATATAGGAAATTAGCTCTGTACGTGTGTGGGATGAGTCAGTTCAATGAATTAAGGTTGGTTAAAGCAAAGGGTTATAATAAATGGAGTTCAGTGAAACTGGATTCAAGTTGCAACTGGGACCCTCAATTATTTTTGATATATATATATTAATGATATTGATAAGGGAATGGTCAACAAGTTGGTAGAGTTTGCTGATGATATTAAAGTTTTGGATGTAATTGGCTATGAAAAGGATGTTGTTTTTTACAAAAGGATTTAGATCATATGGTGAATTGGGCAAGTAAGTAGCAGATAACATTTAATTATGTCAACTGTAAGGTAATGAATGAGAGCTTCCTTAATTTAAACTATAATTACCACCTTCATGGAAATCAACTCAAATACTGTTATGTAAGAAAATAATCTTGATGTTTTTATCTGTGATGTTGGGAGTTCTATTCTGTACTTTATTATGGGTTTGTTTATTGTTTATGCAATTTTTCTTCTGTTGTTAGTTCAGATATATTTTTAATTGGAATTACAGTATGATGTTTCTATTGGTCATATCTGATATAAAGATGAAGGGTTAGAAAATCAGAAAGTATGCAAATGGCATGATGTTCTTTAAATTCAGTATGTAAACTAAGTAGTCACATGACCAATGGCTCTTTGTATATATGCTTGCACAAATTTTGTTTTCATATTCCCAAGGATGTCATGATTTGATGTCAAAACATATAGTATCTGTTTTAAGACTTTTGAGTGGTCTTAGAATAAAGTTTTTAATTGTGTACTAAAATCGTTGGTTGTTTGTGTATTTTAATTATATTTACACAAGTACCTTGAATTTTTAACCTTTTAGTATTAAGGTATGTCGTGTTAAATCTGAAAATATTTCTGTTGAATGTTACAGTCATAGAACACTTCTCTCTCTCTACATGAGAATGATACTACAGAGGATGATATTAGCACATCACCTTGAATGGGTTCAGAGTGTTCCATATTAGAACTTGTAAACATTTTTAAGTTTGGTAGTTATAAAATATATACTATATGACAGTGAGATAAGTGGTTGAATACTACAAGTTAAGGAATATTTATTTTAAATTACAAAATATTCTGCTTCCCAAAATGCAGAATAGGTTAAAACATATATACAAGTTTTGTGTTTAAGGTTAGAGTTGTCAGTTTTATTGCACTGAACAATAAGGGAGTGCCTATCAGTCAGTCATGATCTTCAGTTCTAGTTGAGGTCTTAAAAGTCAGTCTTTGTTTTGTTAAACAAAACAATGAGTACCCAGGTTGTTTTTTTTTTCAATAAAGACATATTTTGAATGACTTTTGTACTTTTAAACATTAATATATGAAATATTGTTTGCTAAGTTAGAGGTTGTTGAAAAATATTTTGAAGTAAGTACTTGTAATCAACAAAGACTGGAATGACTGTTGGTACTAATCAGTCTTGGTTCATAATAAAACAAGAAGAAGTCAAAGAATAATTTCCAATTTTACTTACATGTGTTTGGCATGTTTATTTTTAATCATTTAAAATCAGAGTACCCAAATCAACCAGGGTATAATTATATTGGATATAATATTTATTTATATACATATAAATAAATTCTGACATTGTTTTCTAATGAAAATCACATGTTGTATTCATAAATACACAATAATTATACTGATTTTCATTGAAAATAGTTCATATTTGATGACAAAATACATCTTTGTTCTTCGGACTGAGACCGAAAGACCAACTTTTAGGTACTGAACTGGAATTGAAGACTGAGACCAACTAATAGGCACTCCCGAACATTAACTTTACAGTGAAGAGAAAAAAAAAATTTTAAGAATAGAACTTAGATGCAATTTTAAAGAGATGAAAATGACAAGGCATTAAACATGAACAATTGTATGAACAGGATCTAATTTGTTTCTATGCAAGTCAGTCAGTAACACATGTCACACCATGTTTTTGGACGACCTGCTATGTTTCACGGATCTAAATATTACATTCCTACATTCCCAAGGAATTTTAATTTGCTTGAGGTATTTCATCATTTTAGTTGGCTTTCCCAATCAGGAATGCATGGTCCATCCATATTCCTTTAGTTATGACCAGTGAAGTGAACATATTGCATGGATTAAATACAAAAACAATTCATGAGAGAATGTAATCTTCCTGATAGCTTTCCCTCGGGTGAATGTAATTTTATTTCATTATTTCTATCCCCATGTTTACAGAAATTATTACAAATCTTTGGTAAATTGAGGTTTGGTCATGCACATTCTTTGTAAAACCTACCCACTAATCTTTCCAATTTCATACGTTACATACCTACTAAAAATGCTGGTATTATAACATCTTTCATTTTAATGGAAGTGGTGGGTTTATTTTTTTGTATTATAATTAAATAGGATTAAACAGTTATGTGTGGTCACTCTACAGAATGCTAGTTAAAATATTCAGAATATTAGTGGATTTAATTATTTTTTTATGTTATAATTAGATATAGAATTAAAATGTTGTGTGTTTTTTTATTATTATTAGAAAATATCCAGAATGTGGTGATAAGTACCTTACAAATGCAACAAAGCTTCTAGAGAAAAAGAGAGAAATTTCAGAAGTGGAGGATTTACTGAAACAAAATAAAGAGGTTATTTATATTGTTCTTACTTACAGTGTTATTTCTAAAATAAAGCAGTTGTTCTAATAATTTATAGTAGTTGTTGAGAAGACTTTATTTGTAAAAATACTCCAGATTTTTAGGATGTTTTATTAATAATTTGATAATTATTAAGTAAATATTTTCTTAATAATTCAAAATCAATTGTATTACAGAATATGATTGTTTTTTAAAAAAAAATTAAAGTCTGCTTATCAACTACTGTAGTTTAAAATTAAGCTTGTATTCTGAAAAACAAATTCTAATACTATATAAAATTTTAGAACATGAAGCATGAGAAGTTTTTATTCTGCAAAGAATCTCACATTTTACATTCTGTAATGAAGATATTGATGGTTTAGTGTTTAGTATAGTTTATCTCACACACACGAAACAAAAATCTCAGAGTTCAGTCAGATAAAAAGTATTTGTCAAAAATTAAATAGAATTTCAGGTAGAGGTTAATTGCAATCTGGTCTGTATGTGTGTGTGTCTGTCTGTCTATCTTTCCACACGCATATCTCGAAAACTAATAGACCACTGTACACAAAAGTGTTACACAAGATGGAAAATCAGTATGGGACAGTCCTTCCCAAATTTGGTCTGGATCTGTATTCTGGATCACTTTCAAGCATTTTTTATAACAGGAAGATAAGGCAGTTTGTGGTAAATAACTCTGTAAAGTGGGATCAGATTTGTACCAAATTTCCTGGCACATTAAGGTTGAGACTTCTCATCACACTACAAAAAACAATCTGGATTGTTGATCACTTTGGAATCTGTGAAGGATTTTCTGAGTTTTTGAAGGCGAAAGTTGACATAAACGTATGCAATCTCAGAAACGACCAGTGGGGCGAGAGTATATAATCTCTCTGATTGCTCTTGTTTTTATCCAGGTTTGTATCTTCAAGAAGATACTAAGTTTTATGCCTTAATACAAATGATCAGAATCTAATAGATATTCATTACAGAATCTCCAGATTTAGCTAACTGATCAGATTTGTTAAATTGTAAATGACTTAATTTTTTTTTGTACTTCATCGATTTTAGAATTTTATGACTTATGTCACAGAAATGTATGATAATTATAGGTATTATGCCAGGCTATCATTAGTCATCAGTTTTCTGTGTCAAACTTATATAAGTAACAAATAGTAAAAAAACACGTTAACTACAAAATTATCACAATATTGTTAGAAATCCTTAATAGTGTTTCCGTATAAAAACCCAATATTTCAATTTGACTTTACCAAGAACAGATTATCTATATAATATAATATATATATATATACTTAGCATAAGTAGTCTTATATTTTATTTTGGATATTTCTGAATTTGACAGGAATTTAAAATCAAAGCTAAAGAACTAGGGGAAAAAAAGAATGAGCTGAATGAAAGAGAGAATAAGCTGAAAGATTCGTTTAAAAAGTTTGACAAGTTTCTCCAGGTAAGCAGTTGGAAAATAATTCAATATTTGATTAATATTCAAATTCTGGAATTCTCACATTCATATAATATAGTAAGTAATAGTAATAAGTTTTATGGTGCTATTGAATATGTGCATGTCAAAGTATTGTAACATAAAAGAGCACATATACTATATTATATATTATTTTGGAAGTTATACAGCAGAAAAACGATAAGTGATTAAACTATAGAACAATGCATAACCCCAGAATTCACCAGAACTTTACATAATACATTATTGTATCAAAGAATATTTAAAATATATAAAACAAGCATAGAAGAAAGGATGGTCCTAGCAGAGGCAGGTGTAGAACTTATGAAGGTCCAAAATGTCTTGGTGATAGATGAGGGAGGAAAAACAGTTATAAGAACACTTGAAACAGTTGTCTATGATGGCATTGTGAGGAAGCAATCTAATATTGTATTATTAGTTTCTTTCATATTCAGGCATCTGTTAGCAAACAATCATCCATTACGTTACATACATCACTCATTATATCATATGTACAAATCATATAATATGTTACAATTACGTTAATAATAGTTTTTTTAATTACTACTTACATTATGATCAATCCTCTCTCATCCAAGGCTTAAATCACTAGTATAGATCTAACTATGATGTCATAACTCAACTATAAGTCAGATGCCATTGAACTTAACACTGTACAATATACAATGTGTTTATTGTTGACTTGCTTTCTTCAAAGAGGTATCTAAAGTTTTGTAGATGTCACATCCATGTATACTGAGTTGCAGTGGTGTTTCAAGGTTTTTTATTTGAGGGGTGGGGTGCATACGAGGACAAAGAGTTAATTTTGAGGGGCAGAAAAAATTCACTTTCATGTAGAGAATTTAAAAAATTACATCTCACATGGGAATTTTATAAAGTACCAGTACTCAAGAGATGAACAATTTCTCAAATGGGCGAAAAAGTAATTTTCTTTTGTAGTCCAAAGTCATTAGTTTTATTCTATACTGATAACAATTAAAATAATAATTATTACTACAATAGTTGTTCTTAAGAGCATTTATCTTCATTTTAGAAGCTTAGAAGATGATTTTAACAAAAATGCTTCAATATATTGTGACAATTCTATATGACACTTAAACATAAAAATTCATCTCAAGTTGATCTGTACACGAAAGAGATTCTGTGGTTTCCTGGGATCTGTGCTTTTTTAAACATTATACAAAAGATAATTCACATATATCACAATTAAACTAGAGAAACAAGTTTCAAGTGTTGAGTGGCTGCATCTGTTACATGATGTAGCCTGATACGTGGAATTCTGTTCTACTCTTGTTACTTCTCTCTGTATACATTTAGCTGTTTATTTTAACTTTTAAATTATACATTGCAACTCTGGCATGGGGGTGCATGGTGGCAGACCTCAGTTGGAGAGATGTCTCCCGTTACCGTTTCTAATATTTATGGAGTTTTGAGTCCTTTTTAATTCACCTTACAGAAACCTAAATTAATTTAGGTATGTGAATAATATTATGACATTATGTCTAAGTCATTATTTGATATGATACAGCAGACCAACTATTTAATGATTATATATATGTGTTGAAGATTTCATTTCTTTTTCACCAAAGGTAAAGTACAATACAATATCTTACATTCTCTCACACATATAGTTATTCTCACTCATTTTTGCCCTCTATATGCAAAACTTTTTTCGCATGTCACAAGTCTTGAACTCCCACTTACAACTAACGTGGTTCACTGTGTTTTTGCATGTAAATCATCATGTGACAACTCTCCACCAATAGCAGTGAAACATACCCTCCTAACGCATTTGACTCCCTGTATTCGATTGTACTGAACTATAACTTCTTGTTAGGCAGTTGTTTAGTGCATACATTTTCAACTGTGCTCTTTTCACACATTATTTTCTTGTTTTTTGTGAAGTAGTGCTATAACACATATTATTTTGCTGCATTTGGTTCTCTATAGATTTTTTAGTCACAAAAACTTACCTTTCTTTCTTTTTAAATTATTCACAGCCAACTATGAATTCTGAAGTTTATGTTATGACTTCTGATCTACTTCGAATGTTATTACACAGGCTTTAAGTCAGGTGTTCTCGGCTGAAGATTTTTCACCCATCATTTGTCGGTAGATTGATCTTTATATGAATCGATCATCTTCTCCAAACAGTGTGTTTGGGTTCGTTCTGTATCATCCGATTCTGTTCGTGACAACGAGTATTATGTACAGCCTTTTTGGACATGATTTCTCAGGTGTGTGCCATTTTATTTCTTTTTCCCCAGTTTCATGATCCTGTTGCTTCGTTGTTACATGACACACTGTCATTAGAGTACCTTGTTTTCCCTACTTTCACCTGACATCAGGATACATGCTGAATATTTTGTTTCTCAGTTTAGGGCTGGAGCTAGCATGCATCATCCACCAAAGTCTTCTGATCATTATGCTTTGACTTATCATCAGGCTGACTAACCTTTAATCAATTCCCAGCAGCTGAAGTCACTTTTCCCAATGTGGGGGCTGACCCTAATAATTCTATTCGTTTTTCTCAAGCCCAGTTTTCATGACTATGTCCTACCCTTACAGCCCTCCTATGGTACTTGTATTCCATACACCTACTTTCTGAGTCACACCATCAATCCTCTGAGGGGTTTTTCAGATGATCCCCATTTCCTCATTACCTCCACATTGGTGAAATTGTCTTCCTCTTCCCTATCCCTTCACACATGTTGTTATCTCCTTGGTAGGGATGCTATCTTGTCACAGGTTTGTCTCCCTTCCTCATATCTTCTGGACCTGCAGAGAGCTCCTTTTCTCCATAGGTCTGTCTTTGGCAATATTCCCGAGTCTTGGGAATCATGTGTGGAATCTGTGAGACAAAACTCAACTCTTTCTTCTTTGGTTGCTAGTTTGTCTCACTTTGCTATCATGCCATCTCCCATACCCATTTTCCATCCTGCTCCCTCCCATCCTTTGCCTATTTCTACCACTATGGGTATGACATTTTGTCATATTCTTGATGTTGGGTTTATCATCGCCAGCAGTTTTGGTGACTACCAGGTGGTTTCCAGTCCAATGGTAACACGTTTGGCCAATTTTGTTCACTTATGGCGATAATTCATTCCTGATCCATGGGTGATCCAGGTTTTGTCGAACAGACTTTTTAATCCATATACTTTCCCCTCCTCCATTGTCTCTTGAATTTATATCCTTCCCATTACCTCAGGATCCTGCTTCCAGGTAGCTAGCCAGCCTTTTTTGGGCTTTTACTCCAGGCTTTTTCTCATCTTGTGATTGATCTGTCCCACCTCAACCAGTCTCTTGATCTTCCCGCTTTACCATGGAATCCTTTCTCACACTTTGGTGGGCTTTTTCTCCAGGTTTGTGGATGACCTAGGTGGACGTTTTGAATGCTTATCTACATATTTTGATTTCTCATCCATCACAATGCTAACTTCGGTTTGTCCACTATGGAATTGTGTATCAGTTTTGCACCATGTCTTTCAGGCTTGCTACAGCACCATATGTCTTTGCTTGACATATGCATGCTCAAGGGTTGTGCTTCCATCACTACATAGATGACTGGCTCTTGTTAGCTCACTATGAACTGGAGTCTTATCAACATACTCGTTTGCTATTGACAGAAGCAGCTCATGTTGATTAGATTCTAAAGTTGGAGAAGTCTTTCCTGATGCCTACCCAATATCTTGTCCACTTAGGTGTGTTTCTCAACACATACCTCAGTCATCTTCTCCACTTCATCTCTATTCAGTGGAGCTTTCAGTTCTCCATGCCCTCTCTTTCTGCATGCAAGGTTCTATCACTTTTGGGAACTTGGGCTTCTATGGAAGCCCTTATCCCCGTGGGTCACATACACATGCATTCTCTTCAATGGATTTTGTGCACTTAATGGAATCTTGCTCGGGATCTCTTGGAATTCCAATTAGCATTCCTCCTTCCCTTACGATTTCCATTGGTGGTTGAAAAAAGACAATATGATGATGGGGTACTGCTTTCTCCTCTTCATCCAGATTTACATCTGTTCACAGGTGCTTCTCCCTATGATTGGGAGGCATGGGTCAATCAGTGGGTGACTTCCGGTCAATGGTCTCAGAGCAGAATGTCATACCATATCAACATTTTGGAGCTTCTGGCAGAATGACATGCTTTGGTTCATTTTCATCCTGTTGAACAGAACAAACTTGTCATGATCAACACAGACAATTCCACAGTTGTCGACTATATCAATCACTATTGTGGCACTCTTTACCATTCTCTTTGTGGTCAAACACAAGAACTGCTTTATTGGGCCCACATACAATGGATACATCCAATTACATGTCATATTCTAGGTGCTTTCAACCTCATGACTGATTGTCTTTCCTGACCTGATCAATTTTATCCAACAGAATAGTCCCTTGACCCTCAGGTTGGCTCTGCAATCAGTGGGGCACTCCTCATCTGGATGTTTTTGCCACTTTTTTCAACAACACAAGTTACCTCTTTTTTGGTCTCTGGTTCCTCAGGCTCTGGCAGTGGATGTTTTCAGTCAGGACTGGACCAGTCAGTACCTTTATGTCTATGCTCCTATCCATCTCCTTCCCAGGGTGATTGTGGTCATCCATTCCACTCTGTGTCAGGTCCTTCTGTTAGTTTGCTACTGGCCAGTGCAATCTTGGTTTCCTGATCTCCTTCAATTCCAAACTACTCTTATTAGCTCTTCCTCTCAACCCATCCCTCCTCAATCAACCTTGGTCCCCGGTACTTCATCTTGCCCTTCACACCCTCGAACTTCATTCATGCCTGGCATTTGTCTGGTCCCATGCAAGGAGATCCAGTTTGTCAGAGTGTGTTGCTTCCATTTTAACATGGACCATTCGTCCTCTCTCCCTTGTAGTCTATCAATGTAAGTATTTTGCTGTTGGTCTTTAAGTCGAAGATGTTCCCTTTCTCGACCTATTATTCCTCATTTACCTCATTTCTAG